GCATTTGATGCACAGTGTGTTCCGGCCCTATCTTGACTCTTTCGTCATTGTGTTCATTGACGACATCCTAGTGTATTCCCGGACTCGGGAGCATCATGAGCAGCACCTGAGGACTATACTTCAGGCCTTGAGAGAAAAGAAGTTATATGCAAAATTTTCTAAGTGTGAGTTTTGGCTAGACTCAGTGACATTCTTGGGCCATGTAGTATCGAGTGATTGAATCAAGGTGGATCCGAAGAAGGTGGAAGCAGTGTAGAGTTGGCCTAGACCGTCATCGGCTACAGAGATCCGTAGTTTTCTTGGTTTGGCGGGGTATTACCGTCGCTTTGTAGAGGGATTCTCATCTATTGCAGCGCCTATGACCAGGCTGACCCAGAAGGGTGATCTGTTAAGGTGGATAGAGGAGTGTGAGGAGAGCTTCTAGAAGTTCAAGACGGCTTTGACTACAGCCTCAGTATTGGTATTACCTATAGGAACATAGTCTTATACTGTATATTGTGATGCGTCGCGGATTGGTCTCGGCGCGGTGTTGATGCAGGACGATAAGGTAATTGCCTACACGTCCAGACAGCTGAAGGTGCATGAAAAGAACTATCCTATCCATGACCTCGAGTTAGTAGCTATTGTTCATGCCTTGAAGATTTGGCGGCACTATTTGTACAATGTCCCTTGTGAGATTTACACCGATCATCAGAGTTTGCAGAATTTGTTCAAGCAAAAGGCTCTTAACTTACGTCAGCGGAGGTGGTTGGAGCTACTTAAGGACTATGATATCACCATTTTATACCACCCGGGGAAGGCCAATGTGGTGGCCGATGCTTTGAGTCATCGGGCGGAGAGTTTAGCATATCTTCCAGCAGCAGAGAGACCTTTAGCATTGGATGTTCAGGCCTTAGCCAGACAGTTTGTGAGATTGGATATTTCTGAGCCGAGTCGAGTGTTGGCTTGGGTGATCTCTCGGTCTTCTCTTTATGATCGCATCAGGGAGCGTCAGTATGATGACCTTCACCTGCTTGTCCTTAAGGACACGGTTCAGCACGGTGATGCTAAGGAGGTCACTATTGGGGATGATGGCGTATTGAGGATGCATGGCAGGCTATGTATGCCTGATGTAGATGGTTTGCGTGAGTTGATTCTTTAGGAGGCTCATAGCTCTTGATACTCTATTCATCCGGGTGCTGCGAAGATGTATAATGACTTGAGGCAGCATTACTGGTGGAGGAGGATGAAGAAGGACGTAGTGGAGTATGTGGCTCGGTGCCTAAATTGCAAGTAGGTGAAGTATGAGCATCAGCGACATGGTGGGTTGCTTCAGAAGTTAGAGATTCCGGAGTGGAAATGGGAGCGGATCACTATGGATTTCGTTGCTGAACTCCCACAGACTCAGCGGAGGTTTGATGCGCCAAATTATGCTGACAAGTTTTAAATAATAAAATGGAACCTATTCCAAGTCTTAAAATCAAAATCAAAATCTGGTAACCATAAAGTCAACCTGCAGTCAAACCTAGAAAATTTTCAAACTTTCAAATTGCTAACTTATGGTAAATAAGTCAAATCAATCTAGGAACCTCCGAATTCAATTTCGAGCATATTTCCAAGTTCAAAATCACAATACGGACCTACCGGAATTATCAAAATACCTATCCGTGATCGTTTACACAAAACGTTGACCGTAGTCAACTCAAGTTATTTTTAAAGCCAAAAAATTATAATTTCTTCAAATTATTATGTAAAACATTTTCAAAAAAAATAAGGATTGCGCACGCAAATCAAAAAAAATTAAATGGAGCTAATAGAGATCTCAAAATATGAAAATAAGGTCTAGTACTCAAAACGACATATCGAGTCATCACAAAACATCAGGGAGAAGTTTTCCTATTGTATTGTCACATTAAATCATGGCATATCATCACATTATGAACTAGGGACCTACCTTGAACAAACACTGCATGTGATGGCAACACTTTCTTTAGTCTCTTGCGTAATATTTTGGAAATGCATTTATATATTGCATTGCAGCAGGAAATTGGCATAAACTGCCTAGCATTCAAAGGGTTATTCACCTTAGGAATCAAGGTGATCAGAGTAGTACTAAGTTGTTTCAAACACATACCACTCCTAATGTAACGACCCGATCAGTCATTTTGAGAGTTATAACCCTGATTCCCTATTAACTGCTTCTCCCATATCTATTTCTGCTATTGTGACTTGCCGGGAGGTTTTGTTTTAGTTTTTGGAGTGTTTTGGGACACTTAGTCCCAATATAGAGGTTTAAGCCTTAGGATTTGGACCGTAGTCAGAACTATGTGAAGACGACTCCAGAATGGAGTTTCGTCAGTTCTGTTAGCTGCGTTAGGTGATTTTGGACTTAGGGGCGTGTCCGGATAGTGCTTTGGAGGTCTATAGCTCATTTAGGCTTGAAATGGCAAAAGTCAAAGTTTTGAAGATTTGGACCGGCAGTGGAATTTTGATATCGGGGTCAGATTCTGATTCCTGAAGTTGGAATAGATCCATAGGGTTGAATATGACCTGTGTGCAAAAATTGCGGTCAATCGGACGTGATTTGATAGGTTTCGGCATCGGTTGTCGAATTTGAAAGTTTCAAGTTCTTTAAGTTTGAATAGGAGGATGATTCGTGATTTTATCATTGTTTGAGGTGGTTTGAAGGCTCGATTAAGTTCGTATAGTATTTTGGGATTGGTTGGTATATTTGGTTGAGGTCCCGGGGCCTCGGGTGTATTTCGGATGCTCAACGGGCCATTTTGGACTTAAGGAAGATAGCAGATTTTGGTGTTTTGTTGCAGACCTTTTTCTTCATCGCGTTCGCGAGGGAGGTCTCGCGATCGCGTAAGGCAATCTGAGAGGCCAGCTAAAGTTGTTCTTCGCATTCGCAAATTTGAGGATGCGATCACGTAGGTTGGTCAGGCTGTGCATCGCGAACGCATGGGCTAGGCCGCGTTCGCGAAGAGGAAGTAAAGCAACAGGGGAATTTAAGTATTATTCTTTGCGAACGCGTGGGGTTGTTCGCGATCGTGTAAGCATGAGGGCTAGTGAACCGCGTCCGCGTGGAGATTTTCGCGTTCGCGTAGGGTTAAATCTTGGGGTAGCGAAGTGCTTCTTCGCAATCGCGAGGCTATTTCCACGATCGCGATTAAGAAATTACTGGGCAGATTTAAAGGTTCAAATTGAGAGTTTATGTCATTTTTCACCATTTGGACTTGAGAGCTCGGAATTAGGAGATTTTTGGAGGGATTTTCACGTGGGTGTTTGGGGTAAGTGATCCTTACCTAGTTTTGGTTAATTCTCATGATTATGTATTTAATTTTATCATTAAATTGGTAATTTGGGTTGGAAATTTGAGAAACGTTCTTAGGCCGAATTTTGGGATTTTGATAGAGATTTTGGTATCGGATTTGAGTAACTTTGATACGAGTGAACTCATGAGTGAATGGTTGTTTATATTTTGTGACTTTTACCCGATTCTGAGACGTGGGTCCGGGGAGACTTGTTGGGGCAATTTTTTAATTTCTTGCCTTAGCTTTGATTTCATTAATTAGATTAATTTTTTATAGTTATATTTATGGTATGTAATTGATTTTGACTAGATTTGGGCCATTCGGAGTCAAATTTTCGTGGAAAGAGCATTGTTACGGATTGATTGAGCTTGGTTTAAGGTAAGTGGCTTGCCTAACCTTGCGTGGGGGAAATCCCCTTAGGATTTGGTGTTGTTATGATATGTGAGCGCCGTGTACGCGGGGTGACGAGTGCGTACACGGGCTATTTGTGAAAAAACTTGATTTTTACCGAGTAATAGCCTATTTTTACCTTATCTGAGTATACTAGGATGTGTAGTTATCCTGTTAGCGTAGAATAGCATGTCTATGTGTCCTAATTGCCTATTTAAACTATTTGCAGCATGTTTAGAAGAATACTGCTTCTTTCTTGACTTGTACTTAGTCTAAGTTATAGGTTTCGTGCTGTAACTGTTATATTCATTTGTTTGAGCTGCATATTTACTTTGGGACTACTGGACGGTATCCCAGGAGATCCCCTTGCATATTTACTTTTGAGACTATGAAGCGGTTCCTCGGGAGTTCTCCCTGCACATTTACTTTTGAGACTACGAGGCGGTTCTTTGGGAGTTCTCTCTGCATATTTACTTTGAGACTATGAGGCGGTACCTTGGGAGATCTCCTTGCACCTTTATTTTTGGGACTACGATACAGAATCTTGGGAGATCCCCTACTGTTTATCCTTGTGTTCTGCGTGCTACTTTGCTATGTTCTCTTTGTTTAAATTCCAGTCTCTTATTATATGGTTATACTCTCCTTCTTATTTATTATATACCAGTAAGGCCTTGACCTGACCTCATCACTACTCGGCCGAGGTTAGGCTTTGCACTTACTGGGTACCGTTGTGGTGTACATATGCACGCGCACGCAGATCCTCGGAGTTCCCCTCTATCCTTCTATGTTGATTCTTCTCTTATTTCTATAGACACTGATGTATAGAACAGTTAAAACTTCGTAGAAGCTTCTGACATACGGTGTTTCGGGTCTTGGGAGTGTTTTGTATATTTTGAGAGTTGATTATTGTATATGCCGAGCGATATCTCAATTGCTTATTAAAAATGTCTGTTACTATTAGTTGTTAATTTTCATGTTTTTTATTTCTTTTCCGCAAGTGTTAGGCTTACCTAGTCGTAAAGACTAGGTGTCGCCACGACGATTCACGGAGGGAGAGTTTGGGTCGTGACACCTAAGAAACTCTAGCACTGCTTGACTTACTTCTCCACCCACAATAGGCATAGCATCTCTGAAGAATCCACTACCATAACCATCAGGGCTTGGACTCTTGTTCGCATTGATACCCATCATTGCATTCTTAACTTCGTTCCTAGTGTATGGATCAAGTAAATCAAGTTGATGCTGAGGAATTAGTTTATGTCCACCCTCATTGCTTTCCCACTAATTCGTTATAGAACTGCACAAATATCTCAGCTATGAATCATTCTGCAGTTTTGAACTTGCATCATGTAATCGAGTGACTGCTTGTACTAATTTCTTGTGTTTGATCACAGAAATGAAGTACCAAGTGTTATCATCCCCTAAACTTATCCAGGTATCCTTGCTCCTCTGTTGGAGGAACACCTCTGCTAAGTAGTTGGACCTCTTGAACTTTGCCCCTAGTATCCTTTCTTCTTGTTGTAACTTTGTATCCATAGGATTCTGTTGAAGCAATTCTTGGCTCCTCAATAAGTTTGCTCTATCAGTAGCTATCACTGTCACTATATTGGTGAAAATTTTCTTATACAAGGTCTGCTGTTTTAGTTTTTTCACAACTTGAAACATTTTCCATTCTTCAATGTTCTGGTTCCATCCATCTTCTACTATTTCCAGAAACTGGGGATGAGCACTCCATGCATTGCAATATTTAAAATCCATCTTCCTCTTAATCAAATGATGCATTAATGTTACCTGATGATTACTCACCCCTTCTGGCAAGAATTTAGCTCTACAATCTATCATGTTGTCCATCCATTCTCCATTCACAAATACCCAATCAATTCTAGAAAATATCCTGCCATTTTTCTGTTTGTCATTCCATGTATAAGAGAACTACCATTAGGAAGTTCTACAAGTCTATTCAAATCTAAGCGTTCTTGAAAATCTATAACCTCGGATATAGTAACTAGGTTGCCCCCTTGTCTGTCCTCTATGTGTAACACAAAGTTGAAGTCCCCTAAAACTATCCATGGTTTTAGCATTGCCACTAATACCTGATTCAAATACTCCAAGAGTTCCTTCATTTTTTCCTTTAGATTGTAGGCATATATAAATATAGCCAGAAAATCCAATTGCATAGGTATGTATCTCACTCGACACTTATTGCTTGAGCATTCTCACTAAGAACATATATATTATATAAATTCTCCCTCCATACCAGTCATATCCTCCCATTATAATGGGCTAGGTGATTAGTATAATACTTTCAACCTCCAAACATATTAGATGCTACTGTATCAATCTTATTAAATTTTATTTTAGTCTCCAATAGGCCAATTAATCATACAGCAAGCTCATTGCAGAGGAGTTTTACTTCATTCTGCTTAGTGAGGTCATTCAGGCCTCTAATATTCCAAGAAAGAATATTAACCATCCCCCTCAGGGAGAGATGATGGTGCACCCACATTCCATGTACTCCCCACGATATTATCATCCCCCTCCTTCCCCATTGGCTGAAAGGAATTTGTAATGGTCACTACATCGTTTACTACCATAGGAGCACAATAACCATTTTGTGTCTTTAGTAGTTGATTCCAACCTCCGCCATGAGCCCTTATGTTCCTCCCTACCTCTTGTACTTGGTTAACAAGATTAGTACTCTGAGTATTGCCATGTGCACCTCTAGAAGTACCCTCCTTATGCATCTGATTATTGTTATTGGTCTCCACGGGAACAATCATAAGATTGCCATCAACTTGTATAGCTTCACAAACCTCTTTCATGTTATCATTATGCCTCCTACAACTATTTTCAATATGTCCATATTTATGACATACCTCACATATAGTTGGCTTCCAATTGTAGGTCACCTTCTGTTCAATGACCTCCCTTCTTTCATTTCTGAAGTATACAACCTCTGGAAATTGATCTCCCACCTTTACTTCCACAAGCATTCTAGCAAAGTGAAAACCTACTTTCTTCTCTTTGTTTTTGTCAACCATTAGGGGCTTCCCAATCAAACTTCCTATCTTGCTTAGTCCTTTAGCACTCGAATATTTAAAATACATCCCTGTAACCTGATCCATATTGTAATAGTATACAATTCATTTATAGAGAATTTCATATCTGGGTTCCACTCTTTGACAATAAGGGGCTTATTATCGATGTGGAAAATGCCTTCCAGAATGACTTCATTCTCCCCCACCTCACTATAAAACCTCACCATCACAATACCATTTTTTAGCATGGCTATTTTATTGATCCCATGTTTCCCTCAAATCCTCTTTAGGTATCTATTAAGCATACTGAACGGATTATAGGCTCCCAATACATAAAAGACCACTGCATTTCTCTAATATGCAATTTCGGATTCAATGTCCTCTATCCCTATCTTCCCAATCATGCTATCCCCATCTTTTTTAGGACTCACATATTCAAGTTTAATTCCTGCATTTGATATTTTTGAAATGTCAAATTTATCCCAGATAGATTCCATCGATTTTTGCCTACCAATTTCCTTCTCATGCTCTTCTACTTCATAGGCTCAAGAGATTCTTTTCCCGTTGTCCTGACCTTTCATGGCTCTATCGCATTCACTCAATTGCTCCTTCAGTGCGTGATTACCATCTCCTTTGCCGGATTAGAGTTTAATTTTGATGTCTCTGTAATGTGTGAAACCCTAGTTTCATCAGTTACTGTTTTATCTATCTACGTATATTTTCCCCCTTTGATCTAGATTTCCGTTGGTACATCTTGATTCATATGCTTCTCATCGCTCTCTGAACCAGAATAGTTGCAGATTTGTTCTTCAAAAATAACATAGATCATGTGTGTCACGACCCAAAATCTCACACATCGTGATGGCGCCTATCGCAATAGTAGGCAAGCCGACAATCACAAATAACCACGCATCTTTAAATTTAAAACATACTGAAATAAGCTTAAATAGTGAAAATCTCATAAATAACTGAGAAGAAAATACCGCGACTCAATACAAAATCCCCCGAAATTCGGGTGTCATTGAGTACATGAACATCTAAATAACAACACGGTCTGACTGCTAAAACAATTATCTAGAAAGATAGAACAATACTAATAAGATGAAAAGAAGGAGAGTCAAGGTCTGCGGATGCCAAGGCAGCTTCCTCAATAATCTCCAAACAACTGAAGCTCCAACCTAGCAACCGCCGTGTCCAGAAGTACCTGGATCTGCACATGAAGTGCAGAGTGTAGTATGAGTACAATCGACCCAATGTACTTAATAAGTAACAAGGCTAACATTGGGCTAAAGTAGTGACGAGCTCAAATAATTACAGTCCAAATCCAGATTTATAATCGTGCATATATGACAGGAAGGATGACAGTAATATTTTTGAGAGAAAACTCATAAACAGTTTGTACACAATACAGAAATATAGACATACTTTCAAGTTTAATAGTTTAAGTTCAACACGAATAAAATATGCCAAGTATAACTGATATGAGGAATGTTACATCTCCATATCTACATGTCAAATGTGCATGTCACATGCAATGCATCACAATGATAACCTTACGTACTCCCACTCTCAGAGTACTCAATCTCACTATCTCAACTCTTACTCATCACACTAAGTCACTCAGCACTATATAGTACTTGCGCTCACTGATGGTATGCCAGACTTCGGAGGGGCAGATCCTGCCTAGGCGCTAATACAAAGCCAATATGGCATGTTCCGGCGTGTAGCCCGATCCCATAATAATATATAAAGCCCATAAGGCCTGTTTCGGTATTCAGCCTGATCCATAATAATAATATATATAAATCCAAGAAGGCCTGATGTGGCGTAGACCGATCCACAACCTCACTCACAATACGGCTCTCAGGCCTCAACTCGGTCATCAATCTCTTCAGTCTCTCGGCTCACAAATCTCATACCAATCAGCCCAAACAATGATATGTGACTGAGTACATAATTTCCATTTAAGCAAATAATTCAACAGCAGAAATGACCCCAAGGGTTCTTAATAGAATAAGCATATAGCCTAAACATGATTTTTAACATGGATTGCAGCTCAATTACTCTAACTGTAATGACCCGGTCAGTCGTTTTGAGATTGTAGTCCCGTTCCCCCATTTACTACTCATTTTGTACTTTAAAGCTGTATCTTGACTTGCCGGGGTAGTCGGTTCAGGTTCGGAGAGATTTCGGAATGAATTGAGACACTTAGTCTCAAGGTTGAAAGCTTAAGTTGATAAGGTTGATTGGATGTTGACTTATATGAAAATGACCCCGGAATAGAATTTTGATGATTCTAATAGCTCCGTATGGTGATTTAGGACTTTGGAGTGTGTCCGGAAAATTATTTGGTAGTCCATAGTTCAATTAGGCTTGAAATTGCTAAAATAGAAAATTAAGTTTGGAAGTTTGACCGGGGAGTTGACTTTATGATATCGGGGTCGGAATATGATTCTGGAAATTTGAGTAAGTCCGTTATGTAATTTATGACTTATGTACAAAATTTGAGGTCAATCGGACTTGATTTGATAGGTTTCGGCATCGAATATAGAAGTTGGAATTTTTTAGTTTCATTAGGCTTGAATTTGGGTATGATTCATGTTTTTAGCGTTGTTTAATGTGATTCGAGGCTTCGACTAAGTTCGTATGATGTTTTAGGACTTGTTGGTATGTTTGGTCAAGGTCCCGGGGGCCTCGGGTGAGTTTCGAGTAGTTAACGGACTAGAATTGGACTTAGTGTTATAGCTGAAGCATCAGCTACTGTTGGTGTCTGGTTTCCTTCTATGCGTTCGCGTAGGTACTCCCGCGTTTGCGTAGAGGAAGTTTGTGTGCTGCTGGAATTAGGCCTTCGCATTCGTAATGCATGTTTCGCGTTTGCGAAGCACTGAGATCTAAGGCCTACGCGTTCGTGATTGCGTCATCGCGTTCGCATAGAGGAAGGGGCAGATGAGGTCCCAGGCAATTTAGCCTACGCATTCGCGATGAGGATACCGCGTTCGCAAAGGGTCGACTGTGTGAACTTCCGCATTCATGATTGGGCCATCGCATTTGCAAAGAAAGTTTTTAGACTGAAGCACTTTTGTGCTTCGCGAACGCGATGCAATGGCCGCGTTCGCGAAGAAGAAACCCCTGGGCAGAAACTTTAAGTTCTGAAAATGGGCCATTTTTCATTTTTGACAAATTGGAGCTCGGGAAGAGGCGATTTTCAAGATATTTTTAAGGAAAATAATGGGGTAATTTTTCTTAACTCAATATTGATTAAATTACCCGAATCCATAGGTATATTTAACATCTAATTAGTGATTTAAGTTCGAAGATTTAGAAAACCCTCTTGGTTTAATTTGAAGATTTGAGGGTTGAGTTGATGTCGAATTTTAGTAAAAATTATATGATTGGACTCGTGGTTGAATGGGCATTCGTATTTTGTAACTTTTGCCGGGTTCCGAGATGTGGGCCCCATGGGCGATATTTGGGTTACATTTCGGATTTTGTTAGAAAATTTGTATTTTCATATGGAATTTATTCCTATAATTTGTATTGATTGAATCGAATTGATTATGACTAGATTCGAGCCAATCAGAGTTGGAAAATCGAGGAAAAGGCAAACTACTTGATTGATTGAGCGAGATTTGAGGTAAGTGACTTGTCTAACCTTGTGTGGGGAAACTTTCCCTTATGATTGGTATAGATATGAAAATTTGGATGTGTTGAAAGTCTGTACACGAGGTGACGAGTGTGTACACGGGCTAACTGTAGAAGATTATGTCTTTAAATTGTTTAAAGCAATGTTGCATATTAATTAAATTATTTTATTCTGTTATATTCATCATCATTAATATATTTTCGTATTTTAAATTTGCCTGACATGTTCGTGCTAAGTGTTTTACTTGTTTAGTTGAAACTCTATTTCTTTTGTTCTGTGCATTATTTGAAGGTTGGATTTCATAATTTAAATATTATAAAAATAAAGTATTTTACATTTAAAGTTTTCTATATTAAGGCAAGGTGTTAAATTTGTGAAATATTATTTTTTCTGAGTAATTCATTCATGAATATTTTGTGAGATTTTATACTCATTGTGATTG